AGAGACGTTCTGGCCCTTCATACACCATCACATTCTCCATATCAGCAGCCTCTGCGAGTGCAAGTTACCCGTCCCTATCTTCGTCATTCGCTCACAGCTCCCTGTCAGCATGCCAGCGACTCCGTTTCGCCCTCCCAGCCCCATTCTCCGACGTCCAGGCTCCAACCTAAGAGTAGCCATCCCTTCCGCCACCCAATGCCGGCCATGGATGAATCAAGGCGCGCAGGCAATATCCATGTCCGACTCGGGTCGCGACCCAGCAGCGGGGTGCGTCCACCGTCCAGCGTCGCCGAGACCAGCCCCCCCGCTCCTATCAGCGCCACCGTCTTCCCCACGCGTCTCTGCCAGATTAGCCTCGCTGCGCGTGGCGACGCGGCCAGCCCCTTTAGAGAGTGACCGTTATGCGACACCGACACAGCCGCCTATAGAGGAACCGCTACAGCAGCAGCTGCAACCGCCGCTCCCGCTTCAGCACCCGTTCGATCTCCCGTTACACTCACAATCAGTGGTCCCTCCCGGCGTGCTGGTCGATAATTTCCCGCAAAATCCGGTTCTCGAACCAGAGGGCGTGAGTCCCGAGGATGACGTGGCTGCTGTAAGAGCAGCGGGAGCCATGGGGAGGGTCAGCCTCAACGGCGGTGCTTCGACGAATGACATCAGCAACAGTTCGATTGTGGAAAGTGCTAACGGCGGCTCTGCCGTTTCCCAAGTGCAGAGCCCGCGTCGATCGCGAACGCGCGTTGCGACGTCGCCTTCGCGCCCGCGATCAGCGTCGCAACTGGAGTGTTTCCGCGTGCTGGGAGTGTCTCGCACCGCCTCGCTGCAGGAGATACGCGTCGCGTACCGCTCTCTCTGCCGAAAGGTCCGTTGCCTGCGCCACCTCCCCTGATCTCTTACGCGCTTCCTTGCAGTCACCTCGGTTTTTTCCCAAACTACCGTCTTCTCGCGGGAACTCCGTTTCGCCATTCCGGCCGTTCCTTCGTGCTGTCTTTTCCTCAACCGAATAACATCGCATCTTCCCTGTCCTTCCTGTTGCGCTTCTAACCATGTCATTTCTTCTCTCTTCTCCCTCCCTGCCTCGCGTGCGTCTCTCTCCCACAGTGGCATCCAGATGTAAATAAGGACGCGGGAGCGGCCGCCATGTTCGTCGACGTCAACCGCGCGTACGAGGTAAGCCAGTCCTTGTCGTTTCTCCCCCCCGGTAGGTGGCAAATGTTCCGAAGATTACGCCTCGCTGCCTCTCCGTTTTCCTCGCTGCCTCTCCGTTTTCCTCGCTGCGCCTCCGTTTTCTCACGACAAGGTTCAGATTTCCACCCAGCGTCACAAGACCAGTCGACTCTCCCCCCCGCGTCGTCCGCAGCCAATGGCGGCGGTCCCTTTCACCGCCTGCCTGTCCCTGATAACACATATTGAAACACTCAAAACGCGTTCTCGCAGCCTCATCATCCCGATTACCCGTTTCTCCGCGTCTGCTGCGCTCTTTCTCTCCGGCTGTTCTTACAGGAAGCAGTGCATGCGCATGAGAGGGCGAGCAAGGCGAAGCCGCAACGGCCGGCGAGGAGAAAAGACGATTTTGACGAGTTCTGGGACGACTTTCTGGGCGGCAAGCCGTCCACTCCCAAGGCGGATCCGCGGAGGAAAAGACAAGGCACGAAGCCGGGCATGGGTGGGGGAGGCGAGCGAATGAGGGACCCATTGGCGTGGTGAGAGACAGTCAGTTACAGAGGAAGGCGAGGAAGTGGAGATAGTGTTTGGAACGGCATGGCAATGTTGGGACGTGACGGGAGGGAGTCTATGTGGTGGAGATGATGGGGCCGCAAGAGAACAGCTGATGGGGTAACGGAGGGGATGAACTCACTGCCGCTGCTGTTTCATTGATTTATCGCTGACATGAGGATGATGGATGGAGGTGAAACCATTGGTCGGCATGGTGACATGGTGGACGAGATTGTGGTAACATTGTCCATGGTAATGGACAGAGCTCCATGCCATCACCATGCTATCATACATGGCAGGTGTGGGTGGCGCAGCATGCTGTGCACAGGTACCCTGCTTAAAGTTGAAGCTTAGAAGTGCTTGTGATCATGGAAAGTTGTTGGGCTTCTGGGTTATACGGTAGCTCCTGATGTAATATCGTTATTATTCAATGTACAGTTTTCAGTAACAAGACTTAGAATGGAGCCGAGCCGAAGGTTGGCTAATCCATTCAATTATGGCGAGGAGCATCAAATTCTACAGCGTGCACCTACATTTCACTGTCGAAAGTGTATCTCCTCTATCCTTGTCCCTCAAAGCGGAGCCACTTTTTGCAAACAGTTTTTCCTTATTCTCCGCGTTTACCGCCAGTATCGACCTCTTGCTGCTTCACAAGTTCACTCGTGGAATCCAACGCGCTTCCACGTCAGACGCAATGCTGAGCGAGGCAACTTCTTATTCCTCGGCCTCCTATCTTCGCGCAGCTTTTCCAGTTAGTCGGCAGCGTATTTCCGCCAAAAGCGCGCTTCACGCGACAGAGCGCAACGGTCACAGCACTTCACCAGCCCTCCACGTGTCGTCCCCGCTTCGCTCCCTTGGACCCCGACCAATTCGATATAGTCATATCCGTAGAAGTGGAATTTGTTCCGCACAACCAGCCTCTCAAGGCAATGAGGTCAATGCAGCGGGAAATGCGGCGAGGGATGCGGCAGACACTGTCTCCCTTACTCCGCAGAGCGAGCAATCGAAAGAGCAAAAAAGGGATACGGAACCGGTGTCCGCGTTAGAATGGGCTTCTGTATTGATACAGGACGGATCGCGACGCTGTTTGGTCGGACTGCTGCTCTTCCTCGCACTTTCCGCACCCCCCTACGTCCCCCTTACCGTCTTCCCCGATTCGCGTGTAGATACCCTCACCGCATCAACTATATTATTGACGTCATTAGGAGCAGCACCAGCGGCGGCGGCGACGGCGGAAGACAGCGCATCAACGGAAGCGCCAGACCTCTCCGCCGCCCCCCCCGCGCGGAGGTCCACCCCACCGCGCGTGGTTCTCCCCCCGCCGCCGTACCTGCGCGCGGCGGACGTCGCGGCGGAACGTGCGGCGTTTGAGTCGCGCGTGGATAGGGCAGTGCGCACACTGGAGGATGGGCGGAGGGCGCAGGCGGAAGGTCGGTGGGCGGACGCCTTGGCGCTCTACACAGAGGTGCGCGCGCACGCAGCGCACTCGCGCATACCTGCTGCCACAGTCGCGGGAATAAACGCTAGCGCTTTTTGCTTGGCTTGAATCGCTGCAACTGCAGAGATGAGAGTTCTTTTTAAGGTGATAGTCCATTTGGTTCAACCTTTCACCTAGCAGCCACACCCGCTTCTCCTCTACTCTCCTCCGCCCTCCCCCCCTCTCCCTCCTCTCCATTCTCCCCTCCCCTTCCCTCACTCCTCACCTTTCCCTCCCTCTCCTCGCCCCCACTCCCTCCCCTCCCCTCCCCTCCCCTCTCGCCTCTATCTGCCAGGTGCAGGAGCAATACCCGGACCTGGCGCTGTCAGTATACGGTAAAGCGGGGCGCGCTCTTATGGAGTACCAAGTGGGTGACCTGCGCACGGCGGTTACCCGGTTACGCGTGCTCAGCGTGGAGTTCAAAGGTTACCCTGGTGGGTGCACTGTGCATGCATGTGGTCAGTATGCTTGTATGAATGCACTATGCGTACTGTATTCATGCATGCATGGGTGCACTAAACATGCGGCATGCGCGTATGATACATGAATACATACATGAGAGTACAGTTGGGTGTATGCTTCTCTTGCATCCGTGCTCTAGAATCCGCACCCATGAAATGCGTTCACTTATGGGCCAGACCCAGACCCATAAAATGCATCTATGGCCATGCCAGCATGCTGACATCACGTACCCACGCTCATCTGATCTTGCCTGCTCCACTGCTACTGTAACCCCGCTCCCAATACCCCCTGCCCGACATACATTCCCTTCCAATCTGCCTCACCCTACTTCCCCTCCCAACATCCCTCCCCCAGAGGTGCATGCAGCACAGTATTTGGAGGGGGGGACAGCAGCAGAAGAGAGACAGTTCAACGTCACCACTCTCCTGTGCCTTGCCCTATGTTCCCCTCGCTATCCACTGACCTTATTCCCGCTCCTCCCCAACCCACTATCCTCCACCAGAGGTGCACGCAGCACTGGCAGCAGCGCTATACGTGGAGGGCGGGGCAGCAGCAGCAGAGCGCCAATTCACCATCGCCACGCTCCTCGATTCCCGCTTCTCCAACCTTGCATGGCTGGAGTCGGAGCGACACTGGCCGCCCACCCTGCTGCTGCACATGAAGCGTGTCCTGCTGCTGCAGTGACGCATGGCATGGCATGATGTGTGTGTGTGTGTGTAATGTAAACCCTAAACTCTACCATTCATGTGGATGCGATTCGATGTCTCTGCAGTGTTGAGACTTCTCAGGTCACATGGCTTTGAGTCAGACAGACACTGGCTGCTCAATTGGCTGCTCCACACCGAACGCTTCTTTCATCTGCAGTTGTGTAGACCAATGTGGAGACATACGATATTGAAACTGGTAGTGTGTCAGATACACCATATGCACACATGCGAACATGCCACACAATAATTCCATGTCCTGCCACCCACCTCCCGTACATTCCACACACCATCTGTTGCATGGAACATCAGTCTTGTACACTTGCAACTGGTTGGACTTTGCACATTCACATATACAGTAGCTTCCAGGCACCTAGCACAACAGCACCAATAGCAGTGATTACTGGTACCGCATCAGGAAAGAACGGGCTTTGAAAAACTCATCACCCACACACCGAAGTGGAATGAAAACAAGACAACTGAACCGCCAAGTGAATTCGCCATAAAATTGTTACCGGTACCGTAGTTTCGTTTCTGGCCCTATTTCTCCCACACACCCTCGTCATCCTCTTTTCTCCCAGCATCCCCCGCCATCACCCCTCTCCACAGCCCCCCACCCCCCACCCCCACACCCTTTCCCCTCATCTCTTTCCCCCATCCTCCCCCGCTGCTGTTATCCGCAACTTCATCCCTTCCCCGGCCTTCCCTTCCCCTCCCTCTCCCCCTGCTCCTGCAACAGCCGCCTTCCTCTCCTCCTCCAGCAATAGAGTCTCTAAATCACTCCCATTCGCGAGCGAGTTAAACTCCACGGCCTTAGAAGGCATAGCAGGATACCTCCTCTGACACAGAGTCATCAGCCTCTTAACCGACTGCAGGTATTTCCGGGTAGTCTCGTCGTTCATAATGTGCGCGACAGAGCTCGCGTGAATTTTTTCGCGGGCAGACCGCTCGTGAATACCCACCATGGTAACCCCAATGGGCCAGGGCGCGTTGCCGATGGAAAGCTTGATGTATTTATCCATGGCTGCGAGATAGTCTCTCTCCCTGCACTTTCCCACCATGTACATCAGTGCTGCCTGAATGTCGTCATACAGTTGCTGTTGGGGGGGTTACACGAGGAAGAAGGGAGTGAGGGTGGGGGGGGGGAAGGGCCGATGGAAAGCTTGATGTATTTATCCATGGTTGCAAGTTTACTAGATAGTCTCTCTCCCTGCACTTCCCCACCATGTACATCAGTGCCGCCTGGATATCGTCATACAGTTGCTGTTGGAGGGGTTACACGGGGAAGAAAGGAGCAGGGTGGGGGGGAAGGGCAGATGAAAAGCTTGATGTATTTATCCATGAAAGATGGTCTCTTGGCCCTTCCCCACCATGTAGAGCTGTGCTGCCTGAATGTCATCATACAGTTGCTGCTGTGGGGGGCATGAGGGAGGGATCGAGGAACGGGAAATGGGGGGAAGGGGGAAGGGGAAGCGGAAGGGGGGTTAACGGGCAGAGTGGATGATGGAGGAACCGGAGGGGAGGGTGTGAGCGGAGGATCGATGCAGGAGCTCAAGGAAGGTACATTGCCGGCCGATAGGTTGAATTGCGAATGGAAGAGAGCCAGGGAGTGAAAGAGGGAACTGCATGGGGTCTTGAGACGTCTCTAAGCTCTCAAGGGAGGCACACATCGGAACTGGAGCAGCTGTTGCACTCTGTGGGGAATGGGAAGGAGCAAGTTGGTTTGGTTCTTGAAGATTCTTACAAACCAACTCGTCTCTACAAACCCTATATGATCAATCACCGTGTATACCGTCCCTCCATGTTTTCTCTGCTCCTCTCCTCTCACTCACCTCCTTCCCTCTCCTCTCTGCTCTCCATGCAAGCCACCACGGTGGAGAATCGAATCGACAAGCACGAATCAACTCAGGCCCCAGAACGCACCACGCGGCGACACACGATGAACAGCGAATCTCTGTCACACACCACCACGCACGCACGCGCGCACGCACTGCTTGAAACGTCGTTACCCACAGACGCGCACATACAGCATGCTCGCTGTTTCCTCCTGCGTCTGCTGCATCTGCTGCGCCGACTCAGACTCTCGAGAATTATACTCTAGAACGCACCTTGCGGCGGCACATGATGAACAGCGGGTCTATGTATCTCGCGCACTGCTTGAAAGTCGCGACCGCGGATTTCCCCTTCACCGTCCGCCGCTCCGCCTCCGGTTTCACCTCTAACTCGTGCTGCCACTCGCGCAGCAACTTCTTAAAGAACACCAGGATCTTATCCTCGTCGCACAGATCCTCCCAATTCGCGCGCATGCGCGCCGAGTCCACGTCATCCTCCTCTTCCGACTCGCCCTCGCCCTCCGCGCCGCCTCCCCCGTCCGCTCCGCCGCCGCCGTCCCTCCCCCCGTCCTCCCCCTTCCCGCCGTCCTTCTTCTCCCCGTCCCCCTTCCGCGAGTCTTTCTTCCCCCGCGCGCCCCCCCCGGCCCCTCCGCCTTTCTTAAGCTCCGCCATATCGCGCAAGAAATCGTTCTGCTGCCCTTCCAAAAGCTCCCCGTCCGGATCTACCTCCCCCGTTTTCATCACGTGCTTCAAACGAGCGAGCCGCGCCTCGTCGTCCTCGCCGAAGAGGGTTATAGGGTGCCGGAGCACGCGGAGCCGCTTAATTACCTCCGCGCGCGGGAGAACTAGCGAGTCAATTCGGTCCTCGGTCGCCTTATCGATCCCTGACCCTGACGTGCCCGCGATTACCGCCACGGATTTCGATGCGCTCGCACCGCCGCTCTTCCCGGCGGCTGTGCCGGCGCCGTTGCTTCCCGCGTCGGCTGCCTGCTGCTTGGCTCGTTTCCGCTCGCGTTCCTTCTCCTCCTCCTGCCGCAGCTGCTCGATTTTCTTCCGTTCGATCTCGCCGCGCGCGACGAATCGACGGTTGCCGAAGTCGGCTTGGAACGCTTTGCGTTTCCGCTCGAGCTCTTTCTTCAACGCGTCCATGGCTACCGGCGGAGCAGAGGAGCGGAGCGGAGAGCAGAGGAGAGCAGAGAAGAAGAAACGTGCTTCAGGCGAAAAGCCAACGCGGAAGCTAGCGTTCTTTCTACCCGCGCAAGTGACTTGAAAGTATGCGGCACCTGGTACAAGAACAGGGGCGACGGAAAGCTGCGTGGAAGTATCTAGATCAGAAGCGTGTGCGGCGGCGAAGAAAATAAGTAACTGCTACGGGATAAGCAAGTAGCTGCTGGGAGAACCGCCGAATAAAGGATCCCAAGAATTTCAGCAACTTTGTACACGTGGCAGCATAAACGGCAGCTTCGCGAAAGTAACGAAGAAGGTAAGCGAAGGAAAGGTGGGATGGATTGATGGGAGGATGTGCAAGGGAAAGTTGTGTTGGCGTTGAAAGGTGGTGGTGTCACGACGTTCGCGAGTGTGACGAGATTCGCAAACAACATCTTTTCGTTCGGACAAGTGGAGCTGGAAGGAGAGAATTTACCCTGACTACAAACTGTTCTTGATTCGTTCGGCACAAACCTGCCCATACAAAATACAGAACGGAGAGGGCTGTGGCGACCTGCAATTCTGTGTAGTCGCGAAGCACTCAGCTATGAGCGGGACTAACCGCCAACGAGACAAACCTTCTTCTGCCCTGTTTTATTAACATATGTTTTGGAGCAAAACCCTCGAAGCGGGCAGGGCAGAACCAGGGATGCTATTGCCACAAACACGCACGCCTCGGTCTCGCCGACAGGAAACTGGTTCGCTTCGACCTTGCATTGCGTTCTGAGCAAGCAATAACAGCTTTCGATCTGTATACCTCATTCTACTTTTCAGTGGCTAGCTTATGCAAAAGTTCAAACGTGTCCGCTAGACCCGGAACTCTGCATTTGTCAGCCGCGTCGCCTGTCATCTCTTACGATTCCGTTCCCATTCCGCCAGTGATAATGTCTGCTCCAGCCAGGCGCCTCGCGGCTCGACTGCCGCACCGCGAACGGCAGGAAATCGTGAAATCGATTTTGCAGCCGGCGCTCTCCATCTCAACATCCTCCCCGTCCCCTTCCTCACGTCCGATCACCAGATCCGTCGATCTACAATCCGCAGATCCGCAACTTTGCGCATCCACCGTCGATTCGAGTCCGGCCTGCGAGTTATTCGAGCAGCCCGCCGTGTTTCCCGGCGGATCTGGCGCTGCGTCGCGCGGGTACGAGATTCTAAGCCGAGATCCGCCATATCCGTCCGCGGTTTCAGGAGGAGGGCAGCAGCAACATCATCAGCAGCGGCAGCAAGATCACGCGCTTCCACCGCCGCAGTCCACGCTATCTCAAACCCAATCGCGTCCTCCTTCACACCTCCTCTCACTCTCTCCCTTTCCCCGCATCGACTCCCGCGATCGCCCATGGGGATTGCTGGCTCAGCGCGGCGCGTCTGCCGCATTCCACGCCGCAACGGCCGCCGGCAGCCCCTGGCCACTCCCCGTTCGACACCTGGCACTTGCCAGCGGCGCGCTTGCGGAAGATCCGGATACCTGGGAGGGCACGGGGGGTCAGCGCAAGGGGCCCGGGCGGGGAGGGGACGGGGTTGAGGGTTTCGGGGATTTCGGCGGGGCGGGGGAAGGCGGAAGGAGAAGGGGGGAAGGGGGATCTCGTGGCGGAAGGGGCGGCGGAGGTGGCGGCGAGGGTTTCCGGGGGAAACCTAGGGGCGGCAGGGGCCATGAGAACAGAAGCGCCGGCGCCACTTCTCCGCAGTTGGGGGGGGCGAAATCCTGGGGATCCCGCGCTCAAGTTGCGCCCCGAAGCGCTAGATCGTCGCATCCGCCAAAGGCGGCGCCAGATCCGGGGCCGCGGGAGGTGCAGCTGCCGGCTGGGCGAATCACGATCCGCCAGCTGGCAGTGCGGCTGGGGAAGCGGATCGAGGAGGTCCGCGCATGTCTGGCGGCGCTGGGGGAGGAGGGGAAGGGGGCAGAGGGGGATGGGGGCGGGGGGAGTGGGCGCGCGGGAGCGGATGCTATGGTTTCCGCGGATGCTGCGGAGCTAGTTGCACTGGTATGCACGTGGATGGGGCGTGGGGCATGGCGCATGGTGCATGGGGCATGCATGGGGCATAGGGCATGGTTCATGGTTCATGGGGAATGGGGAATGGGGCATGGGGCATGGGGCATGGGGCAGCTTTGCATGAATGTACCCTGTTGCACTTCCCACCTCCTCGCCTCTTCCCCACCCCTTCGCTATCGTTCCTACCCCTCCTCCTACCGCCCACCTCTGTCCTGTACGTATATCTGCAAATTCTCACAACACCCCGTCTCCCCCTGCCGCCTCCCTCCCCTTCCGCACCCCTACCCCTTTCGCCTCCCTCCCCCTTCCGCCTCCCTACCCCTTCCGCGCCCTCCCCTTCCCCTCTCCGCCAGGAATTCGGCTTCACAGTCTCCGGGGGGCGGGACCTGCGCGCGGAGGAGGGCGCGGGGGGCGCGGAGGGCGCAGAGGCGGAGGCGGAGGCGCGGAAGGCGTGGCCGTGGCGCGCGCCAGTGGTGGCGGTCATGGGGCACGTGGATCACGGCAAGACGTCCCTGCTGGACGCGCTTCGGCAGACCTCTGTGGCTGAATCGGAGGCGGGGGGGATCACCCAGGTAGGGAGGGAGGAAGTGAGGGAGAACGGAGGAGGGAGGAAGCGAGAAGGGCAGGGCAGGGCATGTGGATTCACAAGGCAAGGCATCCAAAGGCTGGATAGTTGGTTTTGAGGCACCTCGAAAATTCTTATTGGTGGGGCTCTGTGGGTGGGGGAAGAGGGGCCAGACGTCGCTGCTGGATGTTGTTAGGCAAACCACTGTGGACGTCTCGTTCAAGGTGCAGATGCCGTCAGGGGCCGCCTCACCTTCCTGGACACGCCGGGGCACGCAACGCCCTTACCTCCCTCCTCTTTTCCCCCCTCTTCGATGAAACTTCCCCCCCTCCCTTTCCCAGTACATAGGGGCGTTCAAGGTGCAGATGCCGTCAGGGGCAGCGCTCACCTTCCTGGACACGCTGGGGCATGCAACTTTCTTCCGTCCCTCCTCTTTTCCTCTCCTTGCCCCTCCTCCCCTTACCCCTCTTCCCAGCACATAGGCGCGTTTAAGGTGCAGATGCCGTCAGGAGCGGCGCTCACGTTCCTGGACACGCCGGGGCACGCGGCTTTTGCAGCGATGAGGGCGCGGGGCGCAGCAGTGACGGATATCGTGGTGCTGGTGGTGGCGGCAGATGATGGGGTCATGCCGCAGACCCTCGAGAGCATCCAGCACGCCAGGAGCGCAGGTGAGAGGGCAGGGCCAGCAGCGCATAGTGAGGTGGTAGTGAGGTGGTGATGCCTCAAACCCTCGAGGGCATTCAGCACGCCAGGAGCGCAGGTGAGAGTGGGTTTGCAATGGGAAAATCATGGGTTGCTCATGGTGGTGAGGGCGCGGGGCGCAGCAGTGACGGATATCGTGGTGCTGGTGGTGGCGGAAGACGACGGGGTGATGCCTCAGACCATAGAGAGCATTCAGCACGCCAGGAGCGCAGGTGAGGGAGAGGGACCATGAGCGCATGGTGAGGTGGTGATGAGGGCGCGGGGAGCAGCAGTGACGGATATCGTGGTGCTGGTGGTGGCGGCAGACGATGGAGTGATGCCGCAGACCCTCGAGAGCATTCAGCACGCCAGGAGCGCAGGTGAGGGAGAGGGCAGGGACCATCAGCGCATAGTGAGGTAGTGGTGAGGGCGAGGGAATTGTCAGCCCATGCGGGGGGGCGGCAGTGACGGTTACTGTGGTGCTGGTGGTGGCGGCTGATGATGGGGTGATGCCTCAGACTTTAGAGAGCATCCAGCACGCCAGGAGCGCAGGTGAGAGGGCAGGGGAGGCAGGTGAGGGGACAGGGCCAGCAGCGCATAGTGAGGTGGTAGTGAGGAGGTGATGAGGGCGTGGGGCGCAGCAGTGACGGATATCGTGGTGCTGGTGGTGGCGGCGGACGATGGGGTCATGCCGCAGACCATAGAGAGCATTCAGCACGCCAGGAGCGCAGGTGAGCGCAGGAGCATTCATGCATGACGGTCTCATGAAGGCTTCATGCATGAGGGTCTCATGAAGGCTTCATGCATGAGGGTCTCATGAAGGCTTCATGCATGACGGTCCCATGAATGCCTCATGCATGAGGGTCTCATGAAGGCCTCATGAGAGTCCTTCAGGCCCTTGCAAACTTCAGAACATGAATTCGCACGATGCCACCTTGTTTGTGTTATGTGTTTTGCCGCAACTGGTTTTGCAAGTTCGCTTGTAAAGGCTGGCATTTACCACCGTACAACTACCCGTACCGTACAACTACCAGTTGGAAGATGGAAGATGGGTAATCCGCCTTCATGGGTTGCCTGGTGGGTCAGGAGCGCAGGTGGGTTGCCTGGTGGGTCAGGAGCGCAGGTGAGTGAGGCAAGGGTGGGTCGAGGGTGTAGGGTTCGCTTTGTGCTCTCTCTCTCCCCCCCCTCCCCTTTCCCTTACATCCAGGTGTCCCCCTAGTGGTGGCGATAACCAAGTGCGACAAGGAGGGAGCAGACCCGGACAGAGTGAGCATTTCCTCTGACTCCCCTCCCCCCGCACCCCCCCTTCCCCCCACCTCTCTCTCCCCTTTCTCCCCTCCCTCCTCCCAGGTGTCCCCATGGTGGTGGCGATAACCAAGTGCGACAAGGAGGGGGCAGACCCGGACCGGGTGACCCAACAACTCATCTCAGAAGGACTAGAACTCGAAGAGATAGGAGGAGACGTGCAGGTGGTGAGAGTGTCCGCCCGTACACGCTCCGGGCTCGAAACCCTAGAAGAAGCCGTGGCTTTACAGGCTGAGTTGATGGATCTAAGAGGGAGGGAGTCTGGGGAGGCGGAGGCGGTTGTGATTGAAGCGAGGATGGCGCGGGGGAAGGGGCCGCTGGCGAGCGTGATTGTAAAGGGGGGGAGGTTGCGGAGCGGGATGTATGTGGTGGTGGGGAAGTGGTGGGGGCGGGTGAGGAGTCTGAAGGGGTGCCGCGGGGAGAGCCTAAAGGAGGCAGGGCCGTCTACACCGGTGGAGATTGATGGGCTGAAGGGCGTACCTGAGGCAGGTGATTCGCTCATAGAGGTGGCATCTGAGGCGAGAGCGAGGCGGATCAGTGAGGCGAGACAGGAGGCGTCAGACAGACAGAGGCTGCTGCAGCAGCAGAAGGCTACCAATGCGTTACAAGAGCAGCAGGCGGGGCAGCAGGCGGGGCAAGGGACAGGGGAGGTGCAAGCCCGGGGGGGGTCCGCAGGTGCCACAGCCAACTCAGCAGCAGCAGCAGCAGCAGGAAAGGCAGGAGCAGGAACGGCAGGGGAGGAGCAGGAGCAAGCAGACGACTCAGCAGCCACCACCCCCACCCAAAAAGAAGTGGTGCTGGTGCTGAAAGGAGACGTGCAGGGGTCGGTGGAAGCGGTGGGAAGCGCGCTGGAGCACATGGGGTGTGAGAGGGTGCGTGTGAGAGTGGTGCATGCGGAGGTGGGGGCGATCACGCAGTCAGATATCGACATGGCGGAGGCCACGGGGGCAGCTGCCATCGTGGGGTTTAATGTGCGCTGCATGGGTGCTGCGGTGGATGCTGCTGCCAAGCAGGCTGATGTACCGGTGGGTGAAACTTTTGTTCGTTCTGCTTATTTTCTTCGTCTGATGCACTTTGTGTGTGTTCTGTTAGTCAACCAGATGGTCAGATGTTAAGAGGTCGAGGGTCGACGCAGGTGAGTAGGTGAGCCGATGTCAAAGTCATACCCTTGTTTATACCACTCTCTTTGTTCCCACCCGTTCCCACCCCCCCTTTGTTCCTTAGAGATCCGCCTGCACCGAGTGATATACCACCTGTTGGAGGACATTGGTGGTGCACCCTAGTCTCACCTCTTTGCTGCACCGCCCACTCAAGGGGTACACTCCATCCTCCTTTGTGCCTCAAAAGCCTCCCTATTCCTCCACACCCCTCCCCACCCCTTCCCACCTTTTTCTTCCCCCTTGCTTCTCCATAGATCCGTCTGCACCGAGTGATCTACCACCTGTTGGAGGACATTGGAGGGCTGGTGGTGCAGCAGGCTCCTACAGTGCGGTGCAGTGTGGTGACAGGGCAAGCACAGGTGCTGCAGCTCTTCCCCCTCAAGGGCAAATCCAACCGCCGCTCCTCCTCCTCCTCTGCCTCCTCCTCGGCCTCATCGCAGTCTAATTCTAGCAGCGGTGGGGGTGGGGGTGGGAAGAGAGAAGGTGCTGGGGGTGCGGATGAGAGTGCAGCAGAGATGATTGCTGGGTGTAAGGTTACGGAAGGGAGGTTTCACCGGGGGGCGAAGCTGCGAGTGTTGAGATCTGGAGAGATGGTGTACGAAGGGCTGTGTGCGTCGTTAAGGAGGGAGAGGGCGGACGTGGACGCAGTGAATGCGGGGGTGGAGTGCGGAGTGGTGGCGCGCGGTTGGGGAGGGTTTCGGGTGGGTGATGTGGTGCAGGTTATTGGGGAGAGGGAGGAGGGGCCGAGGCTGGTTTCGATGCGGGGAGGAGGGATGAGGATTGAATACCCGGAGGAGGAAGAGGATTAGAGGAGGATTGAGGGTCAGGAATTAGGCAAAGAAAGGCGAAGAGCTAAGGGAAAAGAGGGGGAGATTGAAGGGAGAGGAGGAAGGTTGTAAGATGAGATGGTTATACGGTAGACTTCATATTTGCGGTCTTCCATTCAGTGACGCTTTTGGGCAACGCAACTGGCCATGACAATGGCTATTTGTCCAATATTGCATAAATTGATGTATGGGGTATTACAATGGGATATACCTTTTAGAACGACATCATATATGATTTCTGTTACACCATTGAGTATAGTTTCAGAAAGTCCGCCAGTTTTGGTTGTGGCAGAAATCGATGTCAGAAGAAGATCCTCTCTGCTATCACCTTTCGTTGCTAGAACCCCACCGCACCACCACCGACCAGCAACATCACAACCACAACCACACAGAACCACACAAAACCACACACAATCAGACTATTCTGGAAATCAGAATACAGGAAGACCCTGTTTTGCGAGGGGATTTTGCACAACCGACACGATACGAACCTCCTTGACTGCATTTCGCGGACCCTGTTTTGTACCGCATTTCGCGGACTAGTTTTTAGACTGGTTGTCGCTGCTTCTAACCACTCCTTGACGAATCTTGCCTGCGGTTGGTTATTTTTTTGGGCCAGCATATGTTATTTTTTGGAATCGAGAGTCCCTCCGTCTCGCCACTAAGCATTGTGCAGCCGGCTTTCCTCAAGTGAATCCTTATTATTTGCGGATCTCTTCTGTTGATAGTAATTATCCAGACGAAATCTGACCGTTCACAGTATTGATTCTAAACCGCTTTTCACTTTTAGACCGTTAGATCACGGGCTGCACTTTCAACATTCGAACCCCGCTTCGTCGCATCTCAGCAGCGTTGGAGTCGCAAACGGTCGCGTTTCTTCTGGTTTCGTTTCCAGATGTACCATTGACCAGCCGCAGCATCAACCACCAGCTCTACAGCACTAGCACCAGTTCGTCCTTCTGTGTCATCACCGTCGAATCCGGCAGCTCTCAGTTTCGGCCAGCAGCTAGGACAAGATTGCGGGAGAACGGGAGCGAGTTTAGGAAGCGAGAGAGAGCAGGGAGAGAGTGAGTGAGAGAGGGAGGGAGAAAGCGACAGACAGGAAGGGAGAGAGTGCGAGAGAAGGAGGGAGTTAAAGAGAGTGAGAAGAAGCGACGACAAAGCGAAGAGGAAGCGAAGAAAAAGCGACGCACAGGATGGTTCGCGAGGAGGAGATCGAGGAGATGGAGGAGAGGGACGGCATGGGGGTGATGGAGCTCCCAACCGACGAGCCCATGCTCGGCCGGATCCCGAAACCCGCAGCGCCAAACGCGGCGAGCGCGTCGCTGCGCATGGTGAAGTACTCGGTGCTTCTGCCGACGTTCAACGAGCGCGAGAACGTCAGCCTCGTCGTGTACATGATCGTCAAGGCTTTCCAATCCATGTGCGTGTGGGGGCCCAGTCCGTGTGAGTGGGAGTGATTGGGCGTGGAGGAGAGAGATGGGGGTTGGGGTTGGGGGGAGGCGGGTGTACCAGCCTCGTCGTGTACATGATCGTCAAGGCTTTTTTGAATCTTTGTGCGTGTGCTCGCGTGTCAGTCTGTGTGCGTGTGGGTCATACAGCGTGGCGTGGAGGAGGTAAATGGAGTGTTGTACGTTTCGTTGTGTGCATGATTGTCAAGACCTTTCAATCGATGTGCGTCAGGGTGATAGGGCGAGAAGTAGGGAGAAAGGGAGGGGGGTTGGGGGGATGGGGGGATGGGGAAGGGAGAAGGTGGGGGGGTACCCCCTCGTTGTGTACAGCACCTCTTCGTTTCCAGTCCACCGTTTCTCCCTCCCTTCCCCTCACCTCCCTTCCTCCCCACCTTCTTTTTCCCCCATCTCTGTCACTCAAATCTTCCCAGCAAGGAGTCGTTTGAGATCGTCGTGATTGACAACAACAGCCCACCGCTTCCGCTTGTCTTGCCCCTCTCCTCCCCTCCTCCCGACCTCACGTCCTCCGCACGCTCCCCATTCTTGCTACTCTTTCCAGCAAGGAGTCTTTTGAGATCCTTGTTATAGACGACAATCCCCTCACCTCGCCTCCGCCGCACCCTCCCTTCCCTTCTCTTCCAATTCGTTCCAGCAAGGAGTCGTTTGAGATCATCGTGATAGACGACAACAGCCCGGACGGCACGCAAGAGGTGGTGAAGAAGCTGGCCAAGCACTATGGGGAGGACACCATTGTGAGTGGCGAGGTGAAGGGGTGTGGGGAGGGGTGCGGGGAGCTTTGAGAACGTGGCGAGGAAGTGTGTGGAAGAGGTATGGGGAGTTCTGAGACGTCCCGAAAGACGGACGACACACAAGAGGTGGTGAAGAAGCTGGCCAAGCGGTGGTGAAGACGACACCATTGTGAGTGGCGAGTGGCGTGGGGAAAGGGTGTGCGAAAGGAGCTCGGGGAAGGGGCGTGGAGAGGAGGGAAGGGGATAGAGTAAAACTTTGATGTGAAGTTGCGCAATTGCTATGCACACTTGCTCATGGCATCACGATTGTCCATGCATCCAAGTGGTTGCTCCTTCCATGCGGACCGTCTGTGTGTGAATCTCTATTTGCTCTCTCACTCTGTATTTGTGTGTGTGTGCGTGTGTGCATGCGTGCGTGTGTGTGTGGGTGTATGTGTGTCTGTGTGTGTGTGTGTGTGTGGGTGTATGTGTGTCTCTGTGTGTGTGGGTGTGTGTGTGTCTATGTGTGTGTGGGTGTCTGTGTGTGTGTGGGTGTGTGTGTGTCTATGTGTGTGTGGGTGTCTGTGTGTCTGTGTGTGTGCACATCAATGCATGTGTGTGTCTCACAGCTTCTTCGGCCAAGGCCTGGCAAGCTAGGACTAGGTAAGCCCGTCCTATGATCCCCCATTTTGCCTCCTCATGCGCCTGCTCCCTGAAACCCGTGCGACTCCTATGATCCCCCATTTTACCTTCCCTCCCATCTCACCGTGCCCCCAATTCTACCATCCATCCAATTTCACCATCCTTTCAATTTCACCATCCCTGCGATCTCACCATCCCTCTTCTCCGTTACTTTTTCCCACATTATCCAAAACATCTTCTCTCTTAAATAAAGCGCTGCTCATCATCCCACTGTTCCCTCTTTGCTCACCGCACTGCCACCCCTCCCTCTCCCTGACACCACCTTCCTGTGGACCACCACCAGGCACAGCGTACGTGTTTGGGCTGCAGCATGCGCAGAAGGTGTGTTCATCATTTCTAACCGCTTCCTTCCCACCCCCCCCGTCTCCTCAAACCCCACCGCCCTGTGCACATCACCAGGCACGGCATACGTATTTGGGCTGCAGCATGCGCGGGGGGAGTTCGTGTTTATCATGGACGCGGACCTATCGCACCACGTAAGTCATAATGGGGGGGCTGGCACTTGCCTTTTGAGGCGCCTCAAAAGTCGCAGGGGGAGTTCGTGTTTATCATGGATGCTGACTTATCGCACCACGTGAGTCATGAATAATGGGTGGGTGGCACTGGACTGGACACAGGTTTTTAGGATATATCAATCGACTTTGTGTTCCTAATAAACGCAGACCTGTCACACCACGTGAGCCATGGTGGGTGGGGGGCACTGGTGGCACAGACTTTTTAGACGTCTGACAGGAGCGTTTGCACAGACTGTTATGCCTTCTAGTGATGCACGCACAAGTGTTGCTCAGCCGTGTCCTGTCTGTAAGGTCTTGAATCACACTGTTCATGCGCGTCCATGCACCTCCCTCCTGGCACTTCCAAGCTCTTTGCTTTTCTCCATGCTTTTCTCCATGCTTTTCTCTGAGGCCTCTCGACTGCTTCGTCCAACGGTGCTTGTTTTGTCACCCCTATGCGCATGCACTACGCGCCATCTCATGCGCCCCGTGTGTTCCTCTCGAACCGCTCATCTCGGTGGTGTTGGGGTGGGACTGACTGGATGGGCAACAACGAACCTGACACGTGGAATTGGTGTATCAGCCAAAGTACATCCCCCAGTTCATTCGGTAAGCCAGCAGAATGCCAGTTGAGTCCTCTCTGTTCAAGTGGTAGACATGTGATTGTTTTATCCTCCTTCCTTGACCAGCTACCTACTCCCTGCCGTGTTTGGAAAGTGTTCCACCTGTATGCTGCCACGGATCGTTTCCCCTTCCCCTGTTTCTGCACCCATCTTCTCTTGCTGTTCCTCCTCTCCCCTTCGCCTATCCATGCCTCCTCTCGCTTTCCTCTCTTCCATTCTCCCCTTCTCCACCTGCTCCAGCAAGCAGCAGGAGACAGACGCTGACATAGTCACTGGGTCACGCTACTCCCCAGGGGGAGGCGTCGTGGGGTGGGACTTCAAGCGCAAGATGACCAGCCGAGGAGCCAATGTGCTCACGCACACGCTGCTCTGGCCGCGCGTGTCCGACCTCACGGGCTCGTTCCGGCTGTATCGCAAGGAGATTTTGGAGAATCTGATGGATGTGGTGGTGTCCAAGGGCTATGTGTTCCAGATGGAGATGATTGTCCGGGCGAGTCGGGCCAGTTTGGTGATTGAGGAGGTGAGAGGGGTGTGGTGCGGTTGGGAGTGGTTGGGGTGGATGTGGGGTGATAAGGGGGGGAATAGGGATGGGGAGGGTGAAGGGAGGGGGGTACTTGGGTGGGTGACTTGCTGCTGTTGCACATTTCATGATTGCTGCACTTTTGACGAGGCTTACCGTACCTTTCCTTTCCTATTTGTTAAATTTCAGGTGCCAATTGTATTCGTGGATCGGTTGTATGGTTCTTCGAAGCTGGGAGGGACAGAGATTGTACAGTTTGTGAAAGGCCTTCTCTGGCTCTTTGTTTACGCTTAGCATGTGTCACAAACGGCTGGAGGGGTAGAGTAATGGTACCTAACGTAACATATTACATTATTCGTGTGGCATTTGTCCTGCTTAAAATTACTAATGTCGGTCGAAGCTTCGCTTTGCATGATAAAAGCTGGCTTGACTTCCAGTCAGAGGCTGCCACAGATGGTTAATTCATGCTTTGCAAACTGTTCTACAATCACCAGATTGTGCTACTTATCTGCGTGAAGTGTAGTTCGTTCACTGTACACATGGGGATGCTCTCAGTTTCTGGAAGCCCTGTCCTTGAAGTCATCGCATCGTCGGGACGGTACATTCCCCCCGTCCATGCTACACCTTTCCATCATGCTTCGCATTCATTCAGCCAGCACCAACCGTGCCTGCTGCCTCGCAGAGTAAATCGGACGGCTCTCTGCATTCAATTCATTTGTGGCATGGCTGGTTGCTTGTGCCTGCGCATCTGACGAAACTTGCATCTGGGCCCCGGCAGTCCCGCCGATAGTCAACCGGCCGTACTTCTTAGTCCCGCGCCCAGCGCCGCGTCCCTCGTCTGCGTTCCCGCGTCTTGCGTGCGTCCCACTCACTTTTTCTGTTGACCAGTCGCATCTTGCTGCCGACACGTGAACTGGTGTTTGATTCTTCAGAAACGCCTGCAGATCAGACGGTTAAACTCGATTGGGAGGTGTATGCGTTATTTTCAGATTCTGAATCTGACTCTGGACTAGATTAGGTTGGACGGCTGAGGATCTCTCCCGCCAAAAAAGAGCCGCAATTTGGCGGTGACACGGGACGAGCGGTAAGCAGCAAGCGAAGAGCTAAGCAACAAGCAGATACAAGAGCAAATTGAGAAACAGACATTTAAATTTTCCGAGCCAGTCGAGTTTTCAGCAGGAGACATTGTGTTTCAGGAAGGATTCAAGAGAAAATTCGGAGGTAGCAGCCACTCACCCCTCTGGAGAAGCTGTGCCGGATAACTTTGACTTTGTTTTTTGCTTAGAGGCGAACAGAAAGCTGGGGGCAGACGGCAAGAACTTGTCAGGCGCATCCGCGCTATAAGGCTTATCCGATTTCGCAAAGGTCTCGTTTCCGACGGTTACATTTCAGCCGTTCCTTCCCACCCGCTCCCTTCTAGCCGTTCCATTTCCGTCCGTTCCGCTACCGTCGCGGCCGTTCCTTCTCCGCGGTGGATCAGGGCAGCCGGCAAGATGGTACGGGAAATGGAGTATTACGATCTGCTGGGGGTGGCTCCCACAGCAAACGCGAACGAGATCAAGAAGGCCTATTACAATCAGGTGCTTAAGAGGGGAGGGGAGGGGAGGGGAGGGGAGGTAGAAGGGAGGATGGTGGGGGAGGAGGGCGAAGAAAGGGAGTGTAAAATCGTTTTTTGTTTTTTGCGTTGCAAGGCTCGGGATGTGGAATCTGAGTCTGCGTCTCCTGCCCATTGTTGCCGTGAACGACATTTTCCAGTGCATGGTTGAAAGGATGTGTGTGTGCATGCGTGCATGACCATGGATGCATGGGTGCATGTGTGCACGGATGATTGCATCCTGCCCATCCGTCTTCCCATCCGCCCGTCTGTCCGTCCGTCCGTCCGTCTGTCCGTCCATCCCTCCATCCCTCCATCCATCCATCCATCCATCCATCCATCCATCCATCCATCCATCCATCCATCCATCCATCCATCCATCCATCCATCCATCCATCCATCCATCCATCCATCCATCCATCCATCCATCCATCCCTCCCCCCACTAAGCGCACAAGTTGCATCTTGAAACGAACCCCAATGACCCCAATGCAAGTTCTAGGCGAATCTAGTCTTCAGTCACCCCCCCTCCCTCCCCTCTCCCCCCCGTCTCCTCCCCCGTCTTTTCAATTAGTCCCGCAGAATGCATCCTGACAAGAAAGCCAACAACCCTGATGCAGCCTCCAAGTACCAAGAGCTGGGCAAAGTAATTCCTGAGGCTTCTCCAGTTGAGACACTTCTTCCCCACACATTGACCCTCCCCCCCTCCCCCTTTCCCCCACCAGGCGCGCAAGGTGCATCCGGACAAGAACCCCAACGACCCTGATGCAGCCGCCAAGTTCCAAGCACTGGGCGAGGCGTACCAGGTGCTGAGTGACGAGATGCAGAGGCAGCGCTACGACGCCGCTGGGAAATCAGGCATCTCCAGGTGCGTTTTGTTATGTTGTTTTGTGGGGTGGGTGCGGGAAGAGGCTCACTTGTGAGTGCGCATGAACCATTTGTTTGCCACTGGGCGAGGCGTACCAGGTGCTGAGTGACGAGATGCAGAGGCAGCGCTACGACGCTGCTGGGAAGTCTGGCATCTCCAGGTGCTTGCTTGGTTACAGGAGGCAACAGTAGCAATGTTATTGCTGCTGGCAAATTCACACGTGCGTCTTGTATCTGCTTGTGTGTGTGTGTGGGGGGGGGGGGGGGGGGGGGGGGGGGGGGGGGTGTGTTTTATTCTGTTACTTGTGTCTGCATGTCTTTTCTGTCCTTCCCAACTCCCTCCGCTCGTCCCTCCCCACTCTCCCCTCCTCTTGCTCGCTCCCACTGTCATATCCCTTCTCCCTATGCATCCACCTGGCATCTCTACCCTCACCGCTTCCGCCTCCACTTATCTCCCCCCGTCCCCCTGTTCCACACGCAGGCCCGAGGCCTTGACCCACTCCCTCCCACTCCCTCCCACTCCCTCCCACTCCCTCCCACTCCCTCCCACTCCCTCCCACTCCCTCCCAATCCCTCCCACCCCCTCCGCTCCAACCCACCGTTGTACTCCCCCACCCCCCACCCCCCCTCTGTCCGGCTCCCAGAGAGGCGATGGTGGATCCAGCGGCGTTGTTCGGGATGCTATTCGGCAGCGAGGCCTTTGAGGACTATGTGGGGCAGCTCGCCATGGCCACCCTCGCCTCCCTCGCTGTCGACACCGTCACCAACGCCTCAACCCCCGCTGCTCAGGATGCTGCTTCCAGCCCTGCACACTCAAAGCACCCTTTTCCTCCGTCCCTCCCGTTCTCCTGTCCAACACCCACCTGGGCCCTCGCCCACTCCCCTCCCACTCCCTCCCAACCCCTCCTACTCCCTCCCACTCGTCTACAACCTCTTCCAGGGAGGCGATGGTGGATCCAGCGGCGCTTTTTGGAATGCTATTCGGCAGCGAGGCCTTTGAGGACTATGTGGGGCAGCTCGCCATGGCCACCCTCGCCTCCCTCGCTGTCGACTCCGTCACCAACGCCTCTACCCCTGCCGGCCCGTCTATTGCCAAGGACGCGGCTTCCAGTGCTTCTGCAACCCCGGGAGGGCCTGGGGATGCGGTGGACGCGATGGCGATTCAGGCGAAGCTCACGGTAAGATTGCTGGGTGGATTGAGGTTGGTTGATGGTGCTCTGATGGTTCTCCCACGCCGCATCCCCTGCCGGCCTGTCCATTGCCAAGGACGCGGCTTCCAGTGCTGCTGCGACTCCCGGGGGGGCTGGGGATGCGGTGGACGCGATGGCGATTCAGGCAAAGCTCACAGTAAGAGTGATGGGTTGTTCGATGCGGTTTGAGGTGGTTTGGGGTGGTTTGGAAAAGTGCTTCAATGGTGCGTCCTCTTTCCTTCCACAGGCCACCAAGACATGTACACCCATTCCAAGTTCCCCTTGCATTTTCACTTCACCTACGCGTCATCGTCCCCTCTCCCTCCCACTCTTCACAGGAGGCACAGGAGGAGCGGGTGCAGGAGTTGCGTGTGAAGAACTGAAGTTTACTTTTGAGTCGGCTCAAAAGTCAGCTTTGAGTCGGCTCAAAAGTCAGCTTTGAGTCGACTCAAAAGTCAGCTTTGAGTTGACTCAAAAGTCAGGAGGCACAGGAGGAGCGGGTGCAGGAGTTGCGTGTGAAGAACTGAAGTTCCCATTTCTGATCCCTCTTGCAATGCACCCATCCCAATTCCATTTATGCTCCCCATTCCTCCCTCTTTCCTCCACAGGTGGCACAGGAGGAGCGAGTGCAGGAGCTGGGGGTGAAGCTCAAGAGCCGCTTGGACGGGCGAGAATGCAAATCCACCTGTCAATTTTGCCTACGAGAATTCATCCTTGGCCCTTCTCTCCCCTTCATTCCACAGGTGGCACAGGAGGAGCGAGTGCAGGAGCTGGGGGTGAAGCTCAAGAGCCGCTTGGACGTGTTCGCGTCACCCTCGGCCAATCAGGGCCTGGACGGCGGCAGGCATGCGTTCATGCGCTGGGCGCACGAGGAGGCGGAGGAGCTCAGCCACGCAGGTAGGGAGGGGTTGGGTGCGGTTGTGAGGTGTTCGGGTTGGCGGAGTGTGGGTCGTAGGTCGGCATGCACGCATTCATGCACTGGGTGCGCCAGGAGGCGGAGGAGCTGAGCCACACACACTGGTTGGGACAGGTTGAGTGCGGTTGTAAGGTGTTTGGGTGGGTATGGAAAGTGTGGTTCGCGGGTTAGCGCAGTGCGGCCAAGAAGGAGGGCACGATGGCTGGCAGCAGCCATGTTTCTTTCTTCTTCTTTCACTTTTTATTTCCCCCCTTCCGTTTTTAACCCCATTCCCAAACAGCATTCGGAGATCACATGCTAGAGAGCATAGGGTACGTGTACGAGCACAGCGCATCAAGGAGCAGGGCGCAGCGCAAGCACTGGCAGCAGCAGGGCAGTCATATACGATCCATTCCTCTTCCGTCCCCCCCCACCACCCGTTCCCCCCATTCCCCCAGCCTTCGGAGAGCACATGCTGGAGAGCATAGGGTACGTGTACGAGCGCAGTGCGGCCAAGGAGCCGAGAGGGAGCCCTGGCACCAGCAGTCATACGTGATAGACTCACCTTCCTTTCTCCCCTCCATCCCGCATTCTCACAGCCTTCGGAGAGCACATGCTGGAGAGCATAGGGTACGTGTACGAGCGCAGTGCGGCCAAGGAGCCGAGAGGGAGCCCTGGCACCAGCAGTCATACGTGATAGACTCACCTTCCTTTCTCCCCTCCATCCCGCATTCTCACAGCCTTCGGAGAGCACATGCTGGAGAGCATAGGGTATGTGTACGAGCGCAGTGCAGCCAAGGAGCAGGGCAAGAGCATCATGTACCTGGGCATGCCGTATGTGGGCGAGTTGTTCCGAGAGAGGGGAAGACGCATCCAAACACAGTGGTCTGCCGCTATGGGTACGTGCATGTGGCTGTGCCATGGGTGGGTAGTTGTGCTGCTGCGTGTGTGGTGGTACGAGGCAGGGCAAGAGCATCATGTACCTGGGCATGCCATATGTGGGCGAGTGGTTCCGTTAGAGGGATTGCCGCATTCAATTCAAACGCAGTGGTCTGCTGCCATGGGTACGTGCATGCATGTGGTGCATGGATGGGTGTGGTGGTACGAGGCATGGGCAAGAGCATCATGTACCTGGGCATGCCGCATCCAAACGCAGTGGTCTGCTGCCATGGGTACGTGCATGTGGCTGTGCGTTGCATTGCTGGCAATGCCATGGGTGGGTAATTCTGCTGTTTTGCGTGTGGTGGTACGAGGCATGGGCGTGGGCACGTGGTTCTGGGAGAGGGGTCGCCGCATCCAAACACAGTGGTCTGCTGCTATGGGTACGTGCATGTGGCTGTGGGCTGCACTGACTTTTGAGTCGACTCAAAAGTCAATATGGGTTCGTGCATGTGGTTGTGGACTGCATTGGCACCATGGTGGTGTGGTATATGCGCGGGTGGGTATGTATGTGCGGCGCCATGGGTTCTGTTCTGAACGCACATGCATATGGTTTGAACCATTGTTCTGTTCTGTGCGTGTGCTGCTGTCAGTGTGTGAATACAATTTCAATTTCCTCCCACCACCTTACTACCTTCCCCTTACTCCCACACCCCTTAATTCCCCCTTTTCTCCCCCACCTTACTCCCCTCCTCCCCTTACCCCCGCAACTCGCTCTCCCCGTTCTACTCCCCACTCCCCGCCGCTCATTCTTACTCCTTCCCCCGTCCATCACACAGGAGTGGTGAGTCTGGTGCAGATGCAGATGGACATGAGGCGGCACGTGGAGGAGAGTGACATGGACGAGGCAGCACTCGTGTCCTTCCTCGAGAGCAAGCAGCAGTCGCTGCTCGAGTCGCTGTGGCGCCTCATCCCTCCCTCCCTCCTCCTCCTGGCCCGGCCCCTTCCAATCCTTCCCCGCGTTACTCCCCCACCTCACTCCCCTCCTCCCCTTACCCCCGCAACCCACACTCTCCCTCTTACTCCCCACTCCCTCCCCTTCATTCTTTCTCGATCCCCCTCAATCACACAGGAGTGGTGAGTCTGGTGCAGATGCAGATGGACATGAGGCGGCACGTGGAGGAGAGTGACATGGACGAGGCAGCGCTTGTGTCCTTCCTCGAGAGCAAGCAGCAGTCGCTGCTCGAGTCGCTGTGGCGTCTCAACGTGCTGGACATCGAAGCCACTCTCTCCACTGTCTGCCACCAGGTAAGCAAGGGGCTTCTGAGAATTCTCAAGCAGGTGTTTGGGCTGCTTGCATGTGGGTGTGTGGCGGGAAGAGAGAGCAAGCAGCAGTTGCTGCTCGAGTCGCTGTGGCGCCTCAACGTGCTCGGCATCGAAGCCACGCTCTCTACTGTGTGCCACCAGGTGCGTTGCATGTGGGGTGACAGCGGGGAACAGGGGTGCATGTGGGTGTGCGTGTGTTTGTGCGGGTGCACTTGTTGCTGCTCGAGTCGCTGTGGCGCCTCAACGTGCTGGGCATCGAAGCTACCCTCTCTACCGTGTGCCATCAGGTGCGTTGTTCATGGGGTGTTGCTGCGTGTGCGTGTTGTTGTGCTTGCGCTGTGGCGCCTCAACGTGCTGGGCATCGAAGCTACCCTCTCTACCGTGTGCCATCAGGTGCGTTGTTCATGGGGTGTTGCTGCGTGTGCGTGTTGTTGTGCTTGCGCTGTGGCGCCTCAACGTGCTGGGCATCGAAGCTACCCTCTCTACCGTGTGCCATCAGGTGCGTTGTTCATGGGGTGTTGCTGCGTGTGCGTGTTGTTGTGCTTGCGCTGTGGCGCCTCAACGTGCTGGGCATCGAAGCTACCCTCTCTACCGTGTGCCATCAGGTGCATGAGGCTGTCCATAAGGTGCTTTGGGAACATGTGAGGGTGGGAGTGGGGAGGGGGGGGGAAGGGGTGCATGTAAGGAGTTGACTGAATTTGCTTTAGCGCCGCAACGAGCACCAAAGCCATTCTCTCTACTGTGCCACCAGGTGCATATTAGAAGGGGTGAAAGGGGAAAAAAGGGGAGGGATAGGGAGGGGGAGGGAGGGGAGGCAAGGGAGTGCGGGGAGGGGGCATGGAGGAGGAAGTGAGGTGCGGGATGTGTGTGTTTTTCATGCTACCCACCCACGTCATCTTGTCTCTGTTCGTTGTGTACTCCTTTCTGCCTCGTCGCCTTCTCTGCTCTCTCTCCTCTCCCCCCCACACATTCCCTTCCCCCACACATCTCCCTCTCATCTCTCCCCCCCACCCATTTTCCACGTCCACCTCTCTTTCCCCCCTCGCCTCTCTCTCCCTCCTTGCCTCGCTCCACAGGTTCTCACAAAGGGGTCTCTTGAACCACCCTCGAGTTTTGAGACGTCTCAAAACTCACCTCTCTCTCTCCCTCCTTGCCTCGCTCCACAGGTCCTCACAGAGGCAGATGTTTCACGGACCACCCTCGAGGCACGCGCACACGCTCTCAAGCAGCTGGGAGTAATTTTCCAGGCACGTGAGATTTGAAAGGTTTTGAGGCGCCTCAAAAGGCCTGTGAGGTTTGAAAAGTGTCACACTGCATTCGCAAGCAACTGGTGCGAGTGTGATGCCAGTGTGTGTAGTGTGCCCTGACTCTCTCAACACACAGATTACATCCGCCTTCTCACCAGTTCTGTGCACACCTCACTTCGGACTTGTTCTAATCTGCTGCCGCCTCCTACCATGTCTGCTTCCTTTCTGCTGCTCACCTCTGCCCTCCCCTCTCATTCCTTTGGTTTATCCCTTCTTTGAGTCGCCTCATAAGTTGTTTTCACTCTGCTACTGCCACTGCCACTGCCATCCCCCGTCTCTCCTTTGCTTGACCACTTCTCCGCTTTATCCAGCTTCCTCCGTGCCAATTGTTCCCTTCTTCCACTTCCCCTTGATTCCCTCCCTCACCTCCCGATGATTTCACGTTTCTCCTTTACCCACTCCCTGTGTGCGACTGCACAGAGCAAGGCAATGCACATGGCGAAGGAGAAAGCAGCAAAGGAGAAGGAGAAGTTGGATAAGGAGAAAGCAGCAGCAGGCGGTGGTGATGGTGCTACTGCTGCGTCTGGAGCAGCAGCAGGAGGGCGTTCAGCGGGGGCGGACAAGGCATCAGCAGGCGGTGATAGCAGCAGCACGAATGGTGTGACTGGCTCAAAAGCTACAACAGTCGCTGTTACGGCTCCTCAACCCCCTCCCTTGGTATGTATCTTTGAGCACCTCAAAAGTAGAATGCACACTCAGGTGGTGATAGCAGCAGCAGCAGCAGCAGCAGCAGCAGCAGCAGCATGAGTGGCTTGACTGCTCGAAAGCTACGGCAGTCCCTGTTACGGCTCCTCAACCCCCTCCCTTGGTATGCCATACACGCAGGCTTGGTGTAGCGTAGCGCTTGGTGTGGCACACATCCCTTTCTTCCCTCTAGACCGGTTTTCGTTTGCCTGCTCCCTTCTATTCGTGTACCTTTCTGTGTAGCACAAAGCTGTGTGGTTCACCCATTTGCACAGGAGCGTGTCGGGCCGTCTTACAGCTCATTATCTTATCCTCCTCTTCTTCTCAGGATCTCCGGTTCCCCCCCCCTTGCTTCCCCATGTCATCCCCTCTCTTCCCCTATGTCCCCCCCTGTCATCCCCTCTTTCCCCTGTTACACATCAGATACACCCAGTAGCACTTGAGCTCGGACCATTCCCTGACTTTCCCCCTCTGCCAATGTCTCCCCTTCCTCCCTCCCCCTGACATCCCCTCTCTCCGCTGCCGCACCAGATACACCCAGTAGCACCGGAGTGGGATAAGATGGGTCCGTCCGCAAAGACGAGTGCAGCGTTCAACCCGTATGCCCCATGGCCGCCTGGTGCCACTGCTGACACGCATGTGAGTGAATTGTTTAATCAGAGGCAATTCTAAAGTCGACTCAATTGTCACCCAGGCGCCTCAAATGCCATGTCTCATCGTCTATGCCCCATGTCCTTTGGTGCCACTGCTGACACGCATGTGAGTGAATGCTTTTTGGAGTGGCATGCTCGTTTTAGCATTTCGTCGTGTGTGAAAGGCTATCCCCCACATGCA